CCCCCCCCTAAAGGGCTGTTCCTTCCACTCCCTCCCTCAGCGCCAGGAATGAGTGACTTCATGAACTGCGTATGCTTGCAGATAGGAATTACATGTTGAAGAAGGGTGTAGGAAGATAGCATACTATTCAATACATGAACTTGCAGCATTCTTAATGTTTTATTCTTGTTATTTTATGAAAAGTGTTTAGTGGTTGCCAAAAGTGGTAAACACATACAAAGGTATTCCATCACTACTGCTGATTTGTGCAAATGACTTCCAAACATGACCAGAAAATATTGTAATTATTTTTATCTGATTTTGGGAGGTGGTTGGGTAAAGTTAGGTTAGGTCAGGTTATGTTATGTTAGTTACAAATATCTTTTAATTACCATAACCTAACTTTACCTAACTGCCTCCCAAATATCAAATATCTTTTAATTAACATAACCTGACCTAACCTAACTTTACCTAACCACCTCCCAACATCAGTTTCAGCAGATTGCAGAAAAATAAAATTCACAGTTTCTGGTAGGTTATTGTGATTATATGAACTTGTCCTAAGATTTGTCTGGATGGTAGTGTGGTCTAGGAATGAGGTATAGAGATAACAGGAAAGTACCATATATTTTTAGTTATTTAAAATAGGTGTTTTATATGTGCACTATGTTATTTGTCCCTTGAAGTCTCTGTTTACATTTTACACTGCTAAAGCATTACAGTTGAAGTCACTCAATGAGAGGCTGGTGCTCCTAGGGGTGGCGTGAAAGAGGTAGCATTGAATGGAGCTGAGTGGAGTGGAAGTTGTACTGTAAAGTTGTGTCATGGACGGTGACCAAACGTTATGGTACACTTTCAAACTCAACGCAACTTGACATCTCTAAAGCTCAATAGGGCCAAAGCTTCCACTTTTCTTGATTGTATCACCTCTCATGTGTAAGTCCGGAAATGTAAAGGGTGTTCCCAAAATCAGTGACCTGACCACCGGTGGCGCCAACATCGGCAGTTGTACACTTTGGTTTCTAGAAAGATCGAGAATATTTCGGAAACTTCTCAGCTCTTCGTTTGAGAGAATGGAAAAAATGCCTCTGAAGGGAACGACACGGTGAAGTTGATGTCTAACGTGGTCTATGCTGGAAATGAAACCGCGATTTGGTCATGATCGATAATCTAGAATTTTGCAGGAACAGTGAACAGATCTACTCGTGTAAGTCAGCGTTTGTGTTCGTCCGAAGTTCTAGCCGGAGTAAGCTATGGTATGTAGTGATCGTTTGTCCGAATCGAGATCAGTTTCCGAGTGATTGCTCTTTCTAGGCGCAAGTTTTGAAGAGGTTCAAGCCGTTGTTCGATCGCGTTCTCATCCAGAAAGCAGTCGCGGAAACGAAGTCGAAAGGAGGTATCGTTATTCCAGAGAAAGCACTCGGGAAAGTCATTCACGGCACGGTTGTTGCTGTTGGACCGGGTCATAGAACAGAAGTAAGTGTCACAATGTCAGAATTTTCCCGCACTGAGCTCATATTTTGGTTAAAATTCGTGAGTAATCGATTTGTTCGGCATATAAGTATTGCGTTGATGCTACGCTTAGTAGACCTACTCGATTCCATTATTGTATATCGAATATTCAACGCTGTTCTGTTTTCTCACCGAAGCAAAGTAAGATGGAATTGAAGCTCTCGTGCGTTTTTGTTCCATCTCTTCTGTCGTTCGGTGTTCCACATGGGTTTATAGTTTAGTGTGGAGTTGGTAGCGAATTGCTTTCGTTGCAGTCCTCGTGAAACAAGGGAATGCTCGATATTCATTGAACATTTCTAATTCGGAAGAACTTGTTTTGAAGAATTGCAGTGCAGTACTCGTTAAAATTCCTTCAACAGTTCGTATAATTTATGATGTATGCAAGAGGTTGCACAAGAAACCGAACTTCGTTTGATTCAGTGGATCAATGTTTGTTGGTGTCGTTTTATACGGGTCTTCTTTGTTTTGAAGCGTCCTTCCGGTCAAAATTTTGAACGTTCTGAGAGTAGAATGCCTACAGAGATATCGATCGATTATTTTTCTTCTGGTGTGTTCCAGGACGGAAGTTTCATTCAACCGTCGGTGAACGTTGGAGACGATGTTCTTCTGCCGGAATACGGCGGAATGAAGGTGAACTTTGAGAATGAAGAGTTTTTCTTGTACCGGGACAGCGAATTGTTGGGAAAATTCGACAAGTGATTGAGGTTGTCGTACTGAAGAAGTAGTTGATCTTCTGTAGTTGGTCGGGACCTTTGAATTGTGGAATAAGGATGTTGGGTGCGGAACCATGCGAAGTCCTGACCACGAGATACTGATGCGTTGATGGATTTGGTTCCATGTTTGCTACTTGTGAATGAAAGTTTCCCATGTTTTCGCTGGTTTTGTCAGGATTTTTGGACGACCGGTTCTTTGAGATTCAACTGCATTTTCCAGAGTAACTTGTCTCCTTTTATTGAGATTTCGTGCAATTTTGGACTTCCCGGTACAGGTGGACCCAGATTACTTCTACTTCCTTATAATTTGCAAGGCTCCCTATGTCAAAATATCTTCGGACTGTCTGAACCCTTACAATCAATATGCAGAAAAATCTCATTGCACGAAAGGCATTGGGACCAGTAAAACTGCTTCATTGTAATGATATTTGACTGCATAAAGAAAAGCTTGCTGATTGGAATGCTTTCCCCTTCAACTCTTCTTAATTTGAAGTTGTGGAGGCCTTTGGGGTAATATTCTGGTTACTTGAGGAAGATTAACGCAATACAATTTGACTTGATGCTGGTCATTGGTCAAAAGGAAGTGAGTGACTAATTGTATCATGGAACAATTATCACATATACCTCAACATTCAGCATCATGTCAACTCATTTGCTATGAATTTTGAGGCCTAGAAGATCAATGTTGATTTTCTGTGCTTCTTTCCTTTCATATTCAGCAGAATGTAGCAGTTTCCCAAACTCAAAACCTCTCTGAGTCAAGTTTTTGATGGTCCCTTGAAGCCTTCCTGCAAGAGGTTCAATTGCGAAAGCTTTCTGATGAGCTGAAATTCTGATCTGTCAATGCAGAATGACCGTTTTGTAAAATGTATGCCAGTTAGGATCAAATGCGGCAGTTTTTGAAAATTCTTCTATCCAATAATTTGTGGAATACTGTACAAATAAAATTCCATTTCGAAACCAAGAACTGAAAATGCTATAGAAGCACTGCCTGGAAGAACGGGACTTTTGTCTGCAGCTTAAACTTCAAAATGGACTGGCTTGCAGAATAATTATGTGATTATCTGACCAATATTTTGACACTCTTCTCAACCTTAAGATGGGATGTGAGATTATGGTTGACAGACACGTTGAAAACGTCAGTAAATTATTTCAATTTTCCCTGCACCATTTTTGCGCCAGTAGATAACTGGAGATATAGCGACACCTACTGGAAATATTATAAAGTACAGTACTGTATTTGGGCAAGAAGCACTGCCTGCGGTGAGGGGCAATTTGGTGAATTTCCGGCCAATATTGCCAGGAATCACAGACCCGGAAATCAGTAAAATTTGAGAAATACGTGAATCTTCAACGAACAACGCTTTAATCATGAATTGAAGTGGGATGGCGAAGCACGCCCACTGGCTTCTCGATATGGCCTCTTTTTGGAGGAAGACAAATGGTGCTTGCGAGGAGCCGATTCTCTTTTGATTAAGACCGTTGAGACGCTTAGAACTGCGATTATCTACGACTGATCCACAAAAATAGTGCGAAAGAGAATGAGTGAAGTGAAGAACAGTCGGTGAAACATCAGCTGATGCCCTCATCTCGAAAGCGGTTATATGGATCAGCTCCAGGATTTTGGTTGATCCAGCAAGTGATTGTGCATGCCTTTAATATCTCCTGAAGAGTGCGTAGCTATTTATCATGTTTATCTTTAAATCCTCGGTGAAGATCTTTACTTCCTTCTAATGAGCTTCCGTGCCGCGAGAGAACGTCATCTCCCCCGTTTGGGATTTTATGTATGTGTGTAAAAAAAGAGTGTGGTGAATGCGATTAAATGAGCTCAGGATGAAATTGAAGACACGGACGTGTGTCTTAGTCTCCGTCGTAATCTCCACTTTGATCTTCCATGTCGTCTACTTCATCGCTATCGCGGACAACCGTCCATTCTACAGGTGAAGTTCGTTCATCAGAGTTCCTTCATGACATGTGCTCATTTTTGAGTGAAATTACTACCAGGGATCGAAATGTCACTATGATGGAAATCGACAATAATTTGCTGATGGCCCGTTTGCAAGATCGTCGACGAGATGAAGGAGATGGCGTTTCGTGCAAACACCCAGTGTTGGATATTTTTGACGAGGCGATCATGAAGTTTTTTCCACCGAGCCCAAAACTGGATTGCGCATCCGAACCCCCTTGGGTCCACCTGCGTGGGGACAAGGTTGTGGTTGACCAAAATCTAGTCCGCGAACGAAGCATTCGATGCAATTTCGCAGGTAAGGGGCGTTGATGAAGAAATTGCAAAACCGCGTGAGGATTTCACTCGCAAATTTTGAAATTGTTCTTCTTTCCACCAGCTTTCTCTCGCCGATATTCAATCCCACGCGTCCCGCAGGATTCTTCATAATTCATGTATTCCTCTGTTTTTAGAGGTTTTGCGAGCTACAGAAGATCTCAACCGTCGAGGTCCCACCTATTCAACAGACAAAGAACATAAATTCCGCCTTTCCGACTTCGTTGAAGCTAGTTGTACAGATAGACACGGCAACAAGTGAGTGTTGTGTGGTATTGAACCGTTATTCTCTTTTGACTTACTGTCATAATGGTGACCATTTTCAGATGGGAATCAGTCATAGCTGGTGGATGGCGTAATGAAAAAGTTGCTTCCACCACTGGTTGGCAGTTACTGTCACCTGATGGTTTGCCCGTCAATGTTCTCATATGGGGTCAAGATTCCATTTCTCGAAACACTTTCGTCAGGAAACTGCCGAAAACGTATGAATTCCTAATGGGAGCCCTTGGAGGGATCGTGTTGAAAGGCTACAATATTGTGGGTGACGGAACTCCTCAAGCCATAATACCTCTGATGACTGGTGAGTGTTTTTTTGAAAATACGATGAAGTGGTACCTTAGATGACGAACGCTTCGCATTATGGCTTTGTCATACTGTACAATTCACCGATTTTCCGCAATTTTTTTTTTGTGGGATACGGCTGCCATGCTAATTTCTTCTCGGTGATGAATGGTTTTTTGGCGTTCCTGATTGTTTTCGAGATTACTTTCTCTGTGGTTTTCGTGAGTTCTGTACATTAATTTTTGAAAAACCGATCTTACCTAATGATGAAAACATTTGAAACCCCTCTTAGCGCCATCCATTTGTGATCATGAAATGCATTTTTCTTTGTTTTCTGTGTCAGGGAAAACCGAGATAGAACTTCCTGACGCTCGGAAACGGATGGGAGATGCGGCGAGTTCCGTGGATGTGTATCCGTTCATTTGGAAGAAATTTAAAAGCCGGGGATACGTGACGGGTTACCTGGAAGACGGACCCGACATCGGTACTTTCCAGTGGCGTCTGAAGGGTTTCAAGGAGCAACCCACGGATCTCTATTCTCGTCCCTTGTATCTGAGCCGGAAGCGACTGGGTTTGAGTCCCCGTTGTCATCACCGAAACTCCACAAATCTTGTGAGATCCATTTTTTTTAAGCGACGTTTGAGAAAGCGGCAATAATGAAGTAATTTTATGTTACGCTGCCATTTTGTAAAAATTTTTTTGGTGTAGGAATAATTATGTCCCCTATCAGTTGTGAGTTTCTCTGTGACAAAATTGGTCATTTTGAGGTTTAATTCTTGTCATGCAAAAAATGATTAACCTTTGAGTTGAAGTACAGTGAGACCCTGTCATGCAGACATAATTGGTGCATCAAGAGTGTCCCCAAGTCAAAATGTTCTAAGTTGACTCTCATTTTCCCTTAGATGTACATTATATAATTCTAATTGGTGTTTAATTGTCAAAATACTCACTGTAATTCCATGAAAATAAAAATTGTTTCCAAATTTAAACTGATTCAATCAATATATTTCAACGCAATATGGAAATTTAGGGAATTGAATACTGATACCTCTGTACAGTACTTAGAAATGTTGGCATTCTCTATAAAAATAACATTCAAGTGAAAAAAGAGAGAACAAAGTTCCTTCTATGCTGGACATAATTTTTTAAAATGTGCTAAATGGATGGTAAATTAGTGAGAGAAATGCCCAAAAACTTTTCTTACATCAATTTTAGGGTTGGAAATATCTGTTTCTTGTAATTTGGCCAGGAACGTTTTTGCAATTTCATCACAAAATGTCCCTGTGTTGAGTCAGTGTCCTCACATTGAACCTTTTTTATTGATTTTTTTATGGGAAAATGTGTCCCTATGTTGAATTGTCCAAATTTCAAGGTGTCTGCATGTGGGGGTCTCGCTGTATTACAAAAGAAAAATCAAATATATTCTGGACTCTTACAAAAATTATTGATAACTTTGAAAAGCTATCTATTTCGTATATATTAAGTGTACAGCAAAGCGTATGAAAAGGTTTGTTGTAAAATTAAAGTAAATATGACAACTTGGATAAAAACAAAATTTAGGCTAGGAAAGTCACATGTTTCACTTTTCTCCCATTCATTCGTATTTTTTGTCTTAATTTGAAAAACATTGGTTTATATTTTACCCAAAAATTTCTGCAATTTATAACTTGGATAAAAACAAAATTTAGGCTAGGAAAGTCACAAGTTTCACTTTTCTCCCATTCATTCGTATTTTTTGTCTTAATTTGAAAAACATTGGTTTATATTTTACCCAAAAATTTCTGCAATTTATGCGTATTTTTTTGTCCAGAAATCGTGTCGTGTAAAACAATTTTCTGATGCAATTCACTTTTCCCCCATCTACAAGCATTTGGTTTTTTTAAGTAGAGAGAAAATATGGCGTTTTTTATGAATTTCTGTAAAATTTTAGTTTAATCAAAAGATGTATACAAAAAGGAAGGAGGAATCTATTCTAGAAAAAATTGTTTTAAACCTGTGAATGCCTTGGCTACCTAAATGATAGCGTGTTTTTGATTTTTGATGCATTTTGGAACTGAATACTTTAATCTTTATACTTTCACATGAATTCAATTTAATTTTTCAAATTCAACAGAAGGAATCTTCAAGTTGGTTCTTCTGCCGAAAAGTTGTAGTCTTTGAAAGGTGTTTCTTTGGCACGAATTGATTTTTTTGGGTCAAAAATCATGTTCTAAAGCATGAAATCGACTGTTCCTGAATTTTTTATGTTTTTTGAATGAATAGATGGTTCAAGAGTACTTCAAAGCTGCGTGGGACGCGTATGTGGACAAGCCCAAGTTCTTCTTCCAGTTCCAAAGGGAATTTTCCCACGATGACCACAACGCTATCGGGATCCTGGATGAGGAAATCCTCGACTTTTTCAAGTGGTTCCACCATAATGGTCATTTGAATCGAACGATTTTGATTGTGATGACTGATCATGGACACCGGTTTGCTGCCATTCGGAAAACGCATCAGGGCAAGCTGGAAGAACGAATGCCCTTTTTCTACTTCCGGTTTGCATCCCTCTTTTTTTTTCAAGAACTGAGGTGTTTCCAATGATTCGATTTCTTTTTTTTTTTTCGATGAGCAGGTTTCCAGAATGGATGAGATCTCGGTATCCCGAAGCTTTGAAACATTTTGAAGAGAATTCGGATTTATTGTCGACGCCTTTCGATGTTCACGAAACTCTGGTGGACATTTTGCATTTCAAGTCTTTGGACTTCGATGCCAAGTACGTATGTTCTTTTTGTGGGAATTGTTCAGTGTTTCCTGTGCGGTGATGAATTTATTCCGAATAATTTGTAGTATTTGCATAATCTTTCATCATTTGCTGATATTAATCGAGAAGAAAAAATGGGAGTATAAATACGTATTGAAAAAAGTGGAATTTTTTACTTTTCTGACCCAAACTTTTTTCATGTTTCAGAAAGTCAAGACCTTGAAATTATCGATGTTACACCAATTTTATGTTTTATCAAACGTGGACTTCTCAAGTCTGCATCTTTGTATGATTTTGTGTAATATTTACGTAATCTGCTATTATTTTTGTTTATCTGGCATCATTTTATTTTCATTTGATATTATCTAATGTTATGCTATTTACGTAATCTCATATTTACTTACGGTAATCTCATCATGTTCCCATGATTTCGTATCAGTCACGTAGTTATATCTGATACTATTTGATCAATCATGCATAATTGACGAGAACTCGTAATCATGCTGGTGCAAAATTTCAGAATTCAAATTTTCACAATGTCAACCTTTTTAAATCCTCACATTTGTTGGGCTAGAAAAAAGAACATTATATCTGTACTTTTTTCTATTGAAACGGTTGCCTCTTGCTTTCGAAAACAGTTTCACAAGTGTCACTTCGAAATTTTCCAAAATGCTTGAATACTTTTTAAATGAAAAAATTGGTTGAGAGAGACACATTTTTTTTTTATGGCAATGAAAATAAAAAAATTGTCTCTCACCAACAATTTTTCATGCAAAGAAATATTCAACCCTTTTGGAAATTTTCGAGGTAACACTTATAAAAATGTGTCAGGCCAGATGAAAAATTGAAAATTTTGTTTTTTTTTTATCCATAATCTTTTCCAAGTTTGAGATAAATGTAACGCTGCAACAAAATTCAGTTTTTAGCTAACCTGACAAATTTTGGGGACAAGGGACCTGTAACTGGAAAGTTTTCAGCCACCATCATGCAGATAATTGAAAAACTTTTTGAAAAAATCCGAAAAAAAAGCATCTCGAAAGCTTAAAACATCATTGGCTATACAATCACACCTGTTACAAAAAAATATCCGAGTTCGCGTCAATTATTTAATTTAATACGATTACTTCAAATTTTTTGTGTGTGTGTTTCAGGATTGAAGATGATGATGGATCCATGCCCCGAGGCATCAGTTTATTCAGACGCGTCCCCAGGGGCAGGACTTGCACGGATGCGGCCATTGAAGCCCATTGGTGCGCATGCCTTCAGTGGGAACCACTGGAAACTGAATCGAACCAGTCGAGAGACGTTGCGAATGCCGTTCTCAAAGTGATCAACGAGTACAATGCGCAGCAATTGACGCAGTTTCGGGCCATGCCTGGCGTAGAGCAGGACATGTGCGCGATTTGGCAGCTAGCGAAAGTCGTGTGGGCCACCAGATTTGCCAGCAACTCGAGTGAGTTTGTCTGGGGGAGAAAAAAAAAAGAGACAAAATTTGTGGACCAATTTTAGGAGTAACACCTTTTAAAAAATCTACCAAAGTTAATTTCCTATGGTTTCCATTTTTAGAATTTTTTGCAGTGAAGATTTGTTGACAATTCCTGGTTGAAATGTGCCCAAAAGTTTTGAAGTACAGTATTTGTAAGAATGTTATCCCTGCTTATGATGCGCACCTGTCTGGATTGAAGTGAAAATTTTTTTCAAGTCTCTGTCTGGATTCCCTGAGAAACAATGCATTAAAAATCCCCCTGACTCAATGTCTTTTTCTCTCAAACCTCTGTAAGTCAAATTTTTTGAGGTGTTTTGGTCATTATTTCCTTGAAATATGAAAGAGAAAGTATATAAAACAAATGATTTGATGCATCTTGAAATGAAGTGACAGACTAAATGAACAAGTGAACCCTTGCCTTGAAGTTCTGCAAGCTGTAAACTCATTAAGAAGCAAGTTTATGCCCAGAATATCCTCATTTACAATTTCCCGCAATATTTTGACTTCTCCTTGCAGCAAAAATGTTTGTTTCCTAAAATCTCAGCCTCCAAAATTTGAAACCTCCCTTAGTCAAAAGTTTTTTCTGGTCCCTAAATTTGACTCAGAGAGGTTCAACTGTGATTAAAAACCTTTACTTTTCGAAATTTTTGCAAAGAGAAGAATAGGAAGAAATTTGAAATCTAACTGCTATACTGTGGAATCTAACTAAAAATGTGGATACTGTATCTGGAAAGCTAATTTTGTGTTGAAGAATTCCTTGCCTTTTTATTTTATTTGAGGTACAAATTTTTTTTACTAACATATTGGCAATTTTCAAATTCAGCTGTTGAAAATTAGGTTCATTCTCCTACAATTGAATTTCCTACCTAGTTTGACTGGAGAAAAAACTTACATTCAAATTTTGTGACAATATTGGAGCTCTTCAGTTGATCTTTTAAAAATTGAAGCAAAAATTTTAGCAGCTGGATTGTTTAATTAATGGAGTTTTAATTTTAAAATGTCTACACCACCCATAAAACTCGAAATGACTATGTAATTATAGAATATAAGTAACTTGAGAAAATTTCAAGTTTTTTACTTAATTTAGTTGGTATTGGATATTTCTGGAACTTTCTCCAAGTTCGATTTTTTTTCAATAGCTATGTACCCATGATTTTACAAGTAAAATACAAATATTTAAGTTATTGGAATGGAATTATTTTCTATCTAAATTTGGTTATTCATTTTTAGATTACTTGACCATTTTTAGTGAAAAGTCGTTCCCTAATTTATGTTTTTCCATGTATTTTCTATGTATTATGAGTGAAGTATGAATACAGGTTGACATAAATTGATTGTATGTGTTTTTTTTTGTGGCATATTGCAGAAATTTTGCAATTTTCGCAAAGCAAGGATGCTGATGGATTCCACGCGCAGCTTGACGCCTCAACGAAGCCAGCTGTAGAAATTTATCAGATCTCTTTGACAGCTGAACCCGGAAATGGTCAATTTGAAGCCACTGCCCATTTCAATGTAGAAAAGAAATCTTACAAAATCGAGGTGAGCTACACTATACGCCATCTTTACTTAGTTGGATGGAAGCTGGAGACCCTAAAGCGAAAGCTCTCGTGTTTATATTATTTTTCCTTGCAGATATCGCAAGTCAGTAGAATAAACAAATACAAAACACAAGCCAGTTGTGTCGCTGATAAACTGCATCAGCTACGGAAATTCTGCAATTGTTTGAAGGGGTAACTTGAGTCCTTGTGTAGGATGGGGACTTTGACCCGGTTGTGATTTTTATTTTTCATTACAGTATTTCTGTCTTGCTTGAAGTGCTTTATGTTTAGCTTTTCCCTTTGTTTTTATTCCTGAGTCGAAAGCGCGCTGCTGACATTGTTTGACGATGATTTTGCATTTTCGTACTAGCGCTTCCTGTGTTGACATGAGGTTCGAATGTGATTTGATGCATTATCTGAGGAAGATTTTTTTCTGGTCCCCTGCATCTTCATAGATGGAATAGTGTTCCCCAACCCATGGCCCACAGACCAGTGCCAGTCTGCAGAAGTTTTTTTTCAGTCTGCAGGAAATTTTCCTCTGCATAATAAATCAAAAGGAGCAGTGAAGTCTGTTATTTTTATCTGAAATTTCAGGAAGATAATTGCAGTTTGAATTAATGATGAAAAATAAAAGTTGGCTTTTCTCCTAATAATACTTCAGACAAAATTTCACCTGCTGAAACAAATTGTTTCAATTTTTAATCAGAGAAACCTTTCTTTAGGCTGACTTCTCTAAATTTTGGAAGACATTCCACTGTACTGTAGCTGCATCATTGGTTCTTGGCTTAATTTTTTCAATCAAGCAAACTTTTTTAATACCTCCCATGAAGTCTTTCAAGCAAAAAATTTTTGAGTCTGCAGAAATGTTTGCAAATATAAAACTTTGCCAGTGTGCAGAAATTATTTTTGAAATGTGCCAGTCCACAACAAAACAATTTCTGAAAATTTCTTGGTCTGTGGGCCAAAAACATTTGGGGGGCACTGGTCCAGACTAGGGAGTATGAAGTGTCCACTGTTACTGCATTAGAGCAACCAGGGGATGAATATTTCCAGCAAGATGTTAATGACTTATTCAAAGGGAGGGACTATTGTTGGCTGGCACCAGCCAAACTATAATGTGTATATGGTGGAATTACCTTGGAAGACCTGGAGGCAACTCTTGGAATTAATGCTATGTTAATTTCGAGAATTCTGAGAGGAAAGCTGGGCTACAACAGCAAAATCTGCAGGAAGGGTGCCTCATCTTTTGAGTGGAACTCTACCAGGGTGACTTCTGCAAAACATTCAAAAAATTGGTCAAACAGGGCTGACTTTTTTCTTGTGCCAAAGAACATATTTTCCTAAAGAATAATTGTTTTTCATCTGATGTGTAAGCCTTTTCAAATTATATTCCAAGAACTTTTGTTAGACCCCTCGTATATCTCACAAACTAACCCATTTTTTAGATTTCATTGAAAAATGAATACAACTTAACCATGGGATACTTGTGTACACACATCTTTGAGGATGTTGAGAAAAAAACGGATTTAGGATAACCCCTCCCTCAACCTAATAAGAGCAAATTGGGGAAGATTGTTCAGGGTTTGAGGACTTGACTGCCTCGGAGGGAGGTACTTTTGTTGACTGGAGCCAGCCAAGCAGTCACATATGGCTGGGGGTTCTCCCCAAATTTTTCAAATTTTATTTGAGGCCTGGAGCCCGGAGCAGCCAAAAATTTTGCCTGCTCCAGGCTCCGCTCCGCTCCAGCTAAAATTGCTCTGCTCCGGGCTCCAGGCTCCAGCTCCGCTCCAAGTCCCTGCTTTACTTTTGGAAATTTTTTCAAAGAGAAGAATAGGAAGAAATTTGAAATCTAACTGCTATACTGTGGAATCTAACTAAAAATGTGGATACTGTATCTGGAAAGCTAATTTTGTGTTGAAGAATTCCTCGCCTTTTTATTTTATTTGAGGTACAATTTTTTTTTACTATGGAAATTTTCAAATTCAGCTGTTGAAAATTAGGTTCATTCTCCTACAATTGAATTTCCTACCTATTTTGACTGGAGAAAAAACTTATATTCAAATTTTGTGACAATATTGGAGCTCTTCAGTTGATCTTTTAAAAATTGAAGCAAAAATTTTAGCAGCTGGATTGTTTAATTTATGGAATTTTAATTTAAAAATGTCTACACCACCCATAAAACTCAAAATGAATTTGTAATTATAGAATATAAGTAACTTGAGAAAATTTCAAGCTTTTTACTGAATTTAGTTGGTATTGGATTTTCCACCTATTTCTGGAAATTTCTCCAAGTTCGATTTTTTGTCAATAGCTATGTACCTATGATTTTACAAGTAAAATACAAATATTCAAGTTATTGGAATGGAATTATTTTCTATCGAAATTTGGTTATTCATTTTTAGATTCCTTGACCATTTTTAGGGAAAAGTTGTTCCCTAATTAATGTTTTTCCATGTATTTTCTATATATTATTATGTGTAAAATACGAATACAGGTTGAAAAAATTTTATTCTATGTGTTTTTTGTGGCATTTTGCAGAAATTTTGCAATTTTCGAAAACCAAGGATGCTGATGGATTCCACGCGCAGCTTGACGCCTCAACGAAGCCAGCTGTAGAAATTTATCAGATCTCTTTGACAGCTGAACCCGGGAATGGTCAATTTGAAGCCACTGCCCATTTCAATGTAGAAAAGAAATCTTACAAAATCGAGGTGAGCTACACTATACGCCATCTTTATTTAGTTGGATGGAAGCTGGAGACCCTGAAGCGAAAGCTCTCGTGTTTATATGATTTTTTCCTTGCAGATATCTCAAGTCAGTAGGATAAACAAATACAAAACACAAGCCGGTTGTGTTGCTGATAAACTGCATCAGCTACGGAAATTCTGCAATTGTTTGAAGGGGTAACTTGAGTCCTTGTGTAGGATGGGGACTTTGACGGGGTTGTGATTTTTATTTTTCATTACATCCCAGCAAACAATTAGGGCATGGGAGCCAAAGCCATGATGATCATGGTGTGTTCTCCCTAGTGACACACACCATGATCATCACGCCTCCTCAGTTCCCCACGCCCAGAGCTGGTGGGCCTGGGGAACCCCCATGAGGAAGCCCATGCCGAGGACTTCAGAGCAGGTCTTATCAACTGGTGGTACGATACCCCTAGTTTTGGGCTTGCTGCCACTGGGTATAGGGGCCTATACAATCCCCAGAATTTTGGGGAACCCCCATGAGGAAGCCCATGCCCAGGACTTCAGAGCAGGTCTTATCAACTGGTGGTACGATACCCCTAGTTTTGGGCTTGCTGCCACTGGGTATAGGGGCCTATACAATCCCCAGAATTTAAAAGAATGGGAACTCACCCAGGAACAACTCCACAAAGGCCACAGCACATTATATTTCACATTTTCAATATTTTATTCACATTTTTATAGGATTTTAGCTCAGGAAAATGTGGTGCCTAGGTTTTATTTTGTCCATAAATAATTATATTGTACTTTTTCATTTATCACATTTACAAAATGATGCTTGCATTCTGCTCAATGGATGTTAAGTTAAACAGTGTGCAATTCTTTATTTTGAAAAACATTTCTTGAATTCGAAAAAGGGCAGACAAATATCCCTAGCATGATATTTCAGGAAATAATTCAAAAACTCATCACACAGTGAAAAAGAAGTGATTCAAACATAGAATTTTTCCACCATGTCCCTCAAAAAGAGGGTGTACAGTACAACTGTCCCTATGCCATTTCTTTCAAATCAAAGAATTTTTTTCAGCTGAAGTTTCATATTTTGTCAGAAAAAGATGCATTGCTGAGCAGAAGACAAGCACTATTTTGCAAATGTTTTTGCTTACAGTACAACTGTCCCTATGCCATTTCTTTCAAATCAAAGAATTTTTTCAGCTGAAGTTTCATATTTTGTCAGAAAAAGATGCATTGCTGAGCAGAAGACAAGCACTATTTTGCAAATGTTTTTGCTGTCTTGGAACATAATGCAAGTCTTGTTGCATGAAAGAGAATCTAGGCAAAGAATTACAAATTTTCCTGAGCTATAAAAAGATGCATTGCTGAGCAGAAGACAAGCACTATTTTGCAAGTGTTTTTGCTGTCTTGGAACATAATGCAAGTCTTGTTGCATGAAAGAGAATCTAGGCAAAGAATTACAAATTTTCCTGAGCTAAATTTTGTAAAATTAAATGAAAATATTGAAGATGAAAATTTAAAGGACTTTTTTGCCTTTTGTGAGTTTGAAATTTTCAAGTTTTCAGGTTACCAACAAAATGGCTTGGATTTTGTTGAGTAGTTGAATTATTGCTAATAGTGCTTTTGTACATTGGTAAAAATTGAAAAATCTGTGTTTCAAGCTTTCTATGCAGCTTTCAAAAGACAAAATCCTGTTGATCACATAAAAACAGAAAAAAATTGAATTGTGCTTTGTAATCACGTTAACTCTTCAATTTATTAATTGCTGAAAATTCCAAGGCAATCTTGAAACTTTTTCTGAAATTATGCCCCTGTCAAATAAATATATCATTTATTTCATAATCCAATGACATGTAATTAATTTTCTGATTCCAGAATGAAAATGTGCAAAATGTTTGTTGCAACAAAATGTTTGCTATAAGAGACATTTTGTTATAATGAACATTTTGATATAACAAACATTTTGATATAACAAACATTTTGATATAACAAACATTTTGTTACACCAAACATTTTGTTACAACAAACATTTTGTAACAATCATGTTACAACAAACATTTTGTAACAATCATGTTACAACAACTTTTTGTTATAACAAACATTTTGTTAAAACAAACATTTTGTTTTAACAAACATTTTGTTATAATGAACATTTTGTTATAACAAACATTTTGTTACAATCACATTATAATGAAATGTTTGTTATAATGAAATGTTTGTTATGATGAAATGTTTGTTATAATGAAATGTTTGTTATAACGAAATGTTTGTTATAACGAAATGTTTGTTATAACAAAATTTTTGTTATAAAGAACATTTCATTATAACAAACATTTCGTTACAAACATTTCATCATAACGAACATTTTGTTATAACAAACATTTCATTATAACAAACATTATAACATTTTGTTATGACATGTTTGTTAGAACAAAATGTTTGTTAGAACAAAATGTTATAATGTTTGTATGATGAAATGTTTGTTATAACATGTTTGTTAGAACAAAATGTTTGTTAGAACAAAATGTTATAATGTTTGTATGATGAAATGTTTGGTATAACAAAATGTTATTATGTTTGTTATAAGGAAATGTTTGTTATAATGAAACGTTTGTTATAACAAAATGTTTTTTATAACAAAATGTTTGTTATAACAAAATGTTCGTTATAATGAACATTTCGTTAATAACGAACTTTTCGTTATAACAAACTTTTTGTTATAACAAACTTTTAGATATAACGGACTTTTTGTTATAACAAACTTTTCGTTATAACAAACTTTTCGTTATAACAAACTTTTCGTTATAACGAACTTTTCGTTATAACAAACTTTTCGTTATAACGAACTTTTCGTTATAACGAACTTTTCATTATAACGAACTTTTAGTTATAACGAACTTTTTGTTATAACAAACTTCTCGTTATAATGAAATGTTTTAATGAAATGTTCATTATAACGAACATTTTGTTATAACAAACATTTCATTATAAAAAACATTTTGTTATAAGAAACATTTCGTTCTAACAAACATTTCATTATAACAAACATTTCATTATAACAAACATTTCATTATAACAAGCATTTCATTATAACAAACATTTCATTATAACAAACATTTCATTATATCAAACATTTAATTATGACAAACATTTCATTATAAAGAATATTCCATCATAACAAACATTTCATCATAACAAACATTTCATTATAACAAACATTTCATTATATCAAACATTTCATCATAACAAACATTTCATTATAACAAACATTTTGTTATAACAAACATTTCATTATAACAAACATTTCATTATAACAAACATTTCATTATAACAAACATTCCATTATAACATACATTTCATTATAACAAACCTTTCATCATGAAAAACATTTTTCCATAACAAAACTTTTGCTATAAGGAACATTTTACTATGACAAAGATTTTGTTATAACTAATATTTTGTTCTAACAAAAATTTTATTATAATGAAGATTTTGTTGTGCTTCAACAAACAATGTGCTGCTGCATTGGAATAACACTGCAGATTCCATCCATTAAAAAGGAGAAGGTAGGTTTAGCCTAGTTAGTATAGCAACTGCACACCACACGGATGATCCAGGTTCAAATCCAGTTCAAGACAGATAATTTACAGCACAGGTCTCCATACAATCACACACATCCACCTAATTAGGTTTCCTCCATTACCTATATACCTGCATAAATAATAGCCCAAAAGTATACCAGTGTTCATTGTATGGGACTTGATGAAGTGCAAGATAGGCAAACAGAATTCTCTGGAATAAAATTACTTTTCTCTGTGAATAAATTATATTTTTGAGGGAATTTGGAACTTTCCACATTAATTTGGGGAGATATGAAGGGCATGATGAACGTGGGTTGCCCATGCAGGGGGCATGTGCTAACCCATGATGACTACATGATGATCATGGCTATTAGGATGTCCATGGGAAGCCCATGTTCATCATGCCCATGGTCATGGCATGAGGGCTTTCTGTAAGGGCATGTTCATCATGCCCCCCCTGGAAAATGCCATCTCTAGTTAGGCACTAGTGGGTCATGCATGATGTCATGCCCTCATTGTTATTGCTGGGCTGAGATTGCTCAAAATATTAGGAAAAAAGTGCTGTCCTGTACACACTCTCTGATGGAAAATTCACCTGGAGTACGGATACTTTTTCAAGCTTTCAAACAAAATCTTGATCAGTCTCAAGAAAACTGCATACAGTACTGTATAATTATATTTCAATGAAGGAACTGGGAGGCCTGTGTGCAGGGCGGTCTTGATTGTAGTGACATCTATTGCAATGTTGCTAAAACATTTTCTTTTTGATTCAAAAGTGAGAGTGTGATGTCGCTAAGCATACAATTCGAAGCATTCAAAATACTGTAATATAGTAATAATTACTGCGTATATACTATAGAATGGGATAAAGTATATGTACTATATATTGTACTATGCCCTCAGAAGTAAATGAGGATGATATAAAATTTCTCAAAATCCGTCAGAAAAGGAGTCAGACGCAGATCAAAGTTTGATTGACTCATGCAGCAAACTTTACTATAGACATCTTCCCATTTTTGCATATAAAATATAGATGCAGCACATTTCCCGGATATGCAAGTTTGAAAAATTGGCGGAGATTTTTCTTAGACAACGCTCAACGGCTGGGAAGATAACTACGGCATATGGAAAATCTCCGAGTTGTTTATGATTTTCTATAGAGAGAATCTTGAATGGGTGCTGAATTTGGATCTGGATGGGCACCCACATAATCCCGACAGCAGTGTTTGACTGCGACTGACATCTATTTAGATTGAGAAAACTTTATGATTTTCCTAAATATCTACGCTCAGTAGATGACAAGATTTGTTACAGATTTACCTAGGTGCCCCCTAAACTTATCTCTAGAATAACACTCACTATAGGAAGCTGCGGGCTTTAAAAGATCATTTCGAAGGACTCATGCTTCTGTTAATTGGTATACATTGAATACATAAACCATTATTCGGGGGTCCGCGTCCGCGGATTACGGAAAAATGAGAAGTGAGACTCTTTGTTGGTTGGCTTTAATAGGATGGAATCAGCAGAATCTACTGTATATATATGCTGCATATAAATGCTGCAGTCAAGAACAGATTCAGCCATCCTGTGCAATTTGCATGCATTCTTGAATGTACCTCGAATTTCGAAGACTAGGAATCAAAAATTTTAGCAATGTATCATATACCATGCATAGGAATGGTTATGACTTCGAGGAAAAGTGTTTGTATTGTCTCCTGTGCTGTTCATGAATTTTCGTCTGCTGTAACTTCTACAGCAGAAAATAAGTAAATAATATCGTCAACAAAATAAGAGCATACTGTACAAGTATTCCGCCAACCTCGAAGACCTGGCGCATATTTTCAAATAACTTTCCGGGAAAATTAAAAATTTCGTACGAAAGCGTTTGTATCAGTAAGTTGGCTGATCACAATAATTTAAGAAGTGAGTCATATTCCATCTTCAGCTACTAACGTAAAATATTTCAAGAAATTCTAATCACACATATGCAACGTTGAGGATCTCGTCCCTCATCTAACCTGCCTGTGTTCAGCAAAGTTGAAAAAGTATTGAAGACTTGAGGTGTTGAACCAGAACCGAACTTTTCATTTGACATTTTTATAATAACAAGCAGATGAATTAACCTTTTGAGAAAAGTATAGCATTATCTTCAAATTCATTTTGAGCGATGCAAAATTTTACTCGCTTTGAGAAAAGTCAAACAAAATTAAGTAGAAATTTTCACACGATGTTGTGGGGTCGCGTTCACGCGGCAACCCAAGCGTAGCATCCTCGCTCGGGTATACCGCACAGCAACTCCTACACGCCAACCCGGAAGCGGATAGGGCACCCGGTTTACCGCATTGCGGTAAACCGGGTCAAGAACAAAGATAATCATTTCCGGCAGCGAACGCCGGCTCCNCAGCCCTGCTGCCCATACGTTTACACCCAGCCCACCTCACCCTCTGGAAAAAACCTGTAAGTACTCACCAGTTTCTTTTGTGTGAAAATTTTTTGGCACAATGAACGGTGAGGAAGGCGCAGTCCCCGGCACGCCGCCCATCTCAACCGTACCCGCGGTACGCGCCAGCCTCCGCGACGGCGGGGACCTCTACCGGCAAGGCCACGGCATCGCCTATCCCCGAGCCCGTCCAGCGACGACAGTCACAATAGCGCGCGGTCGCGCTCTTCACATTGCACACAACAGGCGCCTCTTTCAGGCATCGAACGGCGATCTTTGAGGCCAGCGTCTTGCGGCGCTGCCTCAATCGCGGCCTCCAGTGGTCGCTCTTTGGCGTCTACAGCACGCCGCCCCTCAATCATTAAGCAGGTCCGCCGTCTTGCCAACGCGGTAGGCGCGGTGGACCATATCCTGCGGACGCCCAAACTCGGCGATCCGCAACAACGCTTCGAGAGCGTTGTACCCAGCTTTTTTGATGCTGCTGCGCATCTCATAGATTTATCTCCTGCTGCGTTCTCGCAGCCCGAAATCGCCGCCCTCACGCGATTGGCAACCAAGGTGAACACCCTTTTGGTGCAATCCATGGATGTCATGACCGGGGGGTGGCCGCGCCTACGCCCGACACAGCCTCGCGTCTTAGGGGTTGCTTTCCCCGCAGCGCCGCAGGTACCCATGCCTCCAACGCAATTGGTGGCGCACGCCGCGCCTCAGCCCTCCCCCAGGGGGGCGCCGGTTCCTGTGTTACCGCCGCACATGCCCAGCACGTTGCGCGGCACAGGATCGGCAGCTTCGCATCCCGCGATGGGACAGCTTGTCCCTCTGCGCCCCATGGCGCCCGCACTGTTACACCCGCCGGCTCCGGCCAGCTACGGCAATTCGGAGTCCGGGCCTTCATCAATCCTGCAACCGCAGGGATGACCTTACAAGGCGTATCACCACGCTCTCGCCACATATGGGACAGGGCAACCCACCAGCCTCTCCAACCATGACCTTGTTAAATCCTACGAAAAGCAGGCTCGCGACGCCTCCTTCAACAAATTTACTGGCCAAGCGGACTCAAATTATCTGTTTGAGCGCCTTTGGCGCAATTTCCTGCCAGTCCATATCATCCCAGCTGCGCAACTCACGGACATCGAAAGAATCCGAGTGTTGCTCCTTCACCTTGATGGTAACGCAAAAGAAAACTTTGGCGCATTCGCGTACCAAGACGTTAACATGGATTACCTTAGCGTTCTCCAGGTGCTCTTCTCCGAGTACGGGCAAACGGACGCGGTACGCCTCAAGCTCTACCGCGAATTTGATCGCCTTCCGGCACCAAACACTCTCCCAGAATTTTACGACTACTTTAACAGAGTTGTCCAAATCACTGAGAAATTGAGCACAATTCAGACCAACATGAATTTCGTGCACCTCTGTGTGGGCCCGGTCCTGCGCGCACATCTAGAACGCGGTAATTATCTGGAAGTACTCCAGGCCTATACTGACCGCCATGCCCAGATGCCTGAACTCGACCCGGTCTGGGCCACACGCCCTCATCGGCAATACCGATTCATTCGGTCCTACTTTGCGCACAAACTCCGCATGGCAGAGGCGCCACCAGTTCTCGCATTTCAGGGCGCAGCGGCCCTGGCTGATGGTGCAGCGGCTCCCGCAGCACCCGCCGCAGCCCTGGCCACGGCTCCACCTGCCGCAGCAGCCGCCGCACCAGTGGTTGCGGCCAACGTCAATCTTGCAAACGCGGCTCCGTCGACTTCTAACCGGAATCGACGGCAGCAACAAAACAGGGGCAACAACAATAATCAGCGGCGATCATTTCAGCGAGGGCAGTAG